ATACTACATGCGAGGCTGTTCCACTGTGGCTTAGATGTCTATGCTCATGAAGTTACAATATTCTCAAAATTTCTCAGTAAAGATTCTATATTATGTGAGGGTATATTCACCAGTGATATACTATAATGATGAATGCCAAAATGAAAGACTGTTCACAGACCAGCTACAATGATAGCACAGAATAATGTTTTTTCTTCTCATTATCATTAAGCACAAAACTGTGATTCATTACAAATAATCAGGCTTCATACTAGTATATATTGCAGTCCTTCTTATGAACCTATTCATATATGAGAATGAATGAGTGAATAATGAAGAAAGGTATGCTATCTATGCTGTGTTTGTGTATGTCTTCAGTTTAAAGCATGCCTGTGTGTGTGTTATTAAATTATTATTTACATACGGTATGAGGATGTATGTAAGTTAACAAATTTCAGCTATGTAAAAGTTACGGGGTATTCACGTTTCTTTGCTCACATCATAACAATTAGCAAGGTATAGTATTATGCTTAATAGCTTCTGTAACATAAATCTTATGTTGAGAAATACAGCTGTGATTGATATCAACTTGTGCTTTAATTCAGATCTTGACTTAAAAATTCAAGATCAGTCTTTATTCTTTTATAATGTAAATATAAATATAATGTGCAAATGTATATCAATAAGAATTTGTGCAAAATATTATGCCTTTTGTTCAGCTGTAAAACAGTTCTAGTTACAAGTTAGTAGTTATTCGGCACATGTGCTTTGTAGAAATACAAACTTGTCCTTATGCTGGCATGTAATTAGGCACTCTTTGGCCTCTCTTAACTGACTGACTATTCAAAATGGTAAATGGTTAATAACAGTGTGTCTATCAATGCATTTAACCTTCATAATTCTCTGGATTTAATGTATATTTAATTTATCTCTGCATTATTTCAAGTAACACTCTTAAGTCAGGTCAGTCAAAACCCCATTTGTCATATAATGGAAGATCTGACACACAGACTTTTACAAATGGCTCTTTTTCATACATTCCAAAAATATATATACAGATTTTTGGATAACAGCTAGCCTCTAAAATGAGTATCCTTCATAAGTCGTGCTAATCATCTGTTAAACATTCATAAGAAAGAACACATGATTGTGCCGTTTAAATAGATTGCTGATATATGTAATCCATGCATTTGACTGATAGCTGTTTTCACTAATGATATTACTATTTAAAGCCTGAAACACTATCAAAAAGGTATTCAAAGGTGTACATATGTGTATGTGTGTATATGAAGTATGCAGTGATTGTTGCACCGGATGCAGTGCGATGAATCTCATTACATCAAGGAGACTGAATAGCTAAGATGTAAAACTAGCCTTGTGGCTTGACCCTGATCAAGTGTGTAGCATTTGATCCATGGTAGGCTTCTCTTGCAGGCACTAGTACCCCATGAGATCCAGTATAATACAGTGCTTCTTAACCGTAGCAGCAGGTGGGCAATTTGCATTTATATAAGATTTCAAGAGGACATAAAAGTCAGTTACAATGACTGAAGAATGAGAGAAGAAATATGAACAGCAGGAAGCAAATGGTTTCACACATCATAGATGGCATTCTTGTCAATGCTTTGCATTAGTAAAAATGAATATATAAGAAAGACCAAAATCTTATTTACACAATAGTTTTTTTCTTCTTTTCTTATTACATTCTTCCAAAGCAATGAAACCTTTGCCTAAATTTCGTTGTTTGGCATTCACTGGAGGGGCTTTTGGTATAGCTAATGCTGTCTGTGCATTTATGGATTAAAGTAATAATAATAATAATAATAATAATAAAAAGCACTACTGTGGTACTAGATTTACTGACAAAGGGCAAATAGCATCATTTAGAAAATCTCTCTCTTTTTTTATCAGGAGCATGTTTATTTTGTAAAGAATAGGAACTTTCTTTAATTAACATACATGCACCATGAAAAAAAACGTTCCTTGTGAAAACCAAAGAAATATAGAATTTTCATGAAGGAGAGATCCGTGAAATTCTTTACTCTAACAAGCTGTAAATTCAAGAAACCCCAAGAACTGTTTGAAGGCAAATGGATAAAATAAATATATACATATATGAATCACTAATAACATGGGTCACACTATATGCACAAACTCTTTGGCTTGAACTCTGATATTAACCATACTTAATTTTGCCACTAAGACCTGCATCTCCTAACTGACTTTTATCTTTTTCAAATCTTATTGCAGATTTTGTAAAGTCATATACACACAGTCAGCTCCCTCAGTCTGATGAGATTGAACAGTATGATTATCCAGCAGTTAGCGGTGAGTATCCATGAGTCAGAGGTACTCATTCATCATTACCTAAACCACCTAGACTCGTGGAACGCTCTCAAAGGCCCCTCCTCATGCATGGAGATAGTTACGTCCATAGCATTACATTTGCTGGTTCTCAGTGCCAGACAATGAATTTGAGATAGGAAAGACTTATTTTTACTCTCTGTTCTTTAATTTTCCTCAAAGAAAAAAAAAAAAAAAAATACTTCACAGAAATATAAATGGATTGCTTGACTGACCTCTGGGACTCAAATTCATTCTCTGTATTATTTTTTCCCTTTTTTCTTATCTTTTTGATATGTTGAATACACAACTGGTGCTCCTGGCATAACAATTATATGCATCATTACCTATAAAGATGGGGGTTTATTACGAACTTTGTAGCTGAAAGAGAGATCCTAAAAAATCCACTAAAAGACTGTGGAGATTATATGTACAAGGGAATAAGTCTTCATAAAACAGGGAGCCTTACCTTATGTAACTCACAAAACTGGAGAAAGTTGCACAAATATAGAAAGGGGTATTAAAACTTCTTTTCATCATTCTTCTTTACAAATTTCAGAAAGGATATATGACATGGCAAAGGAACTTCTTCTGCAGTGACATCTTATTGGTTTTCATGGTAAAATAATTCTTGTGGTAAATTAACGTTATCAGATTTTAGATTTATACAATTTTGGGAAATTGCAATAAATTTAAAAAGAAAAAAGAGGAAACAGTAAAGTAGCCTTTTACAATCACTATGGCTCCTTTAAAGTCTTCATTTTTCTTATGTAATGTCAACAATGAACATTAATTATCTTGCTCTCTCTTGGAAGTTCCTTTGACATTAGGTAAAATACAGTACCATAATATTCTATAAGATTATGAAATATATCTTACAGTATATGTATAAATGACTGACCACTAGAGTTATAAAGGATAGGCTCAATTCATACATACTGCAAGGTCTGAAGCTATATATATATTTTTCCTCAAATATTTCAAAAAAGTCTGAATTAATATTTGAAAAAAGCTTTTACAAAAAATTATTTAACATCTAGAGCAGGAATGTACAAATATCTATAAATTTTCCAATCATAAATAACATTATGTGTCGTCGAAAAGGAGGAAAGGGCAACGCAAGAGCATAATCCTAAACGAATCGGCAGGCTAGCCCCAGAAGGATTCCACATCATCTTAACTATTTGCATAACTCATCAAGTGATGGTTTGACCGTCGTTTACTACATCTACCAGAATTGCATAGAACACAAAAGCACATCTTTGGTCTGGCCTGACGTAAGAACTTCAGGGTTGGTGTTTTTGTAGATTTCTTGCTTGGTGCTACGGTTGGGAAAGAATTTCTTCTTCTTCTCCTCCTTTTGCTTATTTTTTCTTTCTTATTATTTCATGTCTGTATATGTAATTAAGATAAAAATAAAAATACTGGAAGGAATGGGTACGAGTATTCAATTAACCCTGCAACTCTTGAGGACAAAATTTCTACTTTTGGGAAATAAAAGGTACTTACACGTCTCTTCACATATGTGAAAAGCTAGAAGTAATCAAGTCTCATTCAGTAATAATAACAAAGATTTTTTTCCTCTAAAGCAGACTTAGAAATACAACAAATAACATGAAAATTCAAATATATGAACTACACTCTCTTTCAAGAGTATCAGACGAAGAGTTTTAAAAATCATATACATATTCTTTACGGAGGATGTCTAGTTACTCAAAAGTATTCTCGTACAAGTCAGTGAGACACGAGGACGAGAGGTTCCGGGTTACTAAAATACTCTCCCTACCTTCCATAGTCTGACCAGGGAAGCAGTTGTGAGCTGGCAGCAGTAGCAGTACAGCCTCTTACTATGGAAGAGATCCCTTGTAAAAAGGGGGTACCCTTGTATCACAAGGAAAGCCGTGGGTGTGTTAGTCTGACTTCCTGTCATGCCTAAAAATCTCTTGGATACTGAAGGTTGATTTTTGTATTACTATTAAGATATGTCCAGTTAATCCTATGGCTCTGGGAATGCCAAAAGCAAAGATAAAGAGATTTTACTTTCTTTTGAGGAGGGGGGTGGGTGAATGAAAAAAGATTAAAGTTTAAAACAGTATGCTAGACAATTAATATTCGTAGCTTTGTATGTAAAACAGAAAGGAAAGAAAAGCCATTCATCCAATTCCCTGTATTTTCATCATTTCTAAATTCTAATAAAAAGTAATATGGATAATGCTTCCAAAAAAAAAATTCTAGATTACCCTTACTTTTAAAAAGCCTTTGGTATTACTTCATTCTGCCAGTCCTCTTTGCATTACCACGGCAAGAAAAGAAATGTCATTCTGAAGTTGTTGACAGTGACGTAGGGGATTGAAACACTTGACTCGGATTTTTGTCCCTTACTCCTACTAACAGCTCCTGCTCAACATTTCCTCCAAGAGTTTGGTAAGTCTGGCACAACCCACGACATATTTGACCAGACCAACAGCATATTTTTTCCTCTCAATTTGCATTCATGTGCATCACAACAGTCTTTTAAGCTCACAGGTTTGGTAAAAATATGAATTGCTTTTTATTATTCTATCTAACCCTGGTTTATAATATTGTGAGTGATCTGGTCACATATGACTTTTTTATCTTTTTATTTATTCACTTATCTATTTCTATTGTAATGCTGTGATATTCTTGACAAAGGTGAATATGATGATCACAGTATCTATTACGAGTTTCATAAAGAGAGAGTGACACAATAACACTAAAAACCCTAAACATTTCAAATATTCTTAAAAAGAGCATGTATGATAGGTCTATCACAGGGACTTAAGGAATACAAGAAAATGTTCAAGTCTGATAAGGCATTACACACACCTATCTCTGGAAAGAAAAACAAAAACAAAAACAGAAAATGAAAGAAAATTAATAAAAAAGACTAGATTAACTTTAGTGGAAGTTTTTGTGTTCCATTTTTCTCCTTTCAAGCAAACAATATCACATTGGGGGATTCAGAAAACACTTATCTCCCTACATATTATTACTATCATTGTATTTTTTAAATATTTTTTATTGGGGAGGAGGATTGTTTTTTTTTTGTTTTTTTTTTTATATATATTTTTTAGAGTGAATGCAGAGTTTTTCATATTATACTCTCGACAACATGCCATCTGGTATCAGAAAAACTCCGGATGACTTTACATAGGCAACATGAAGAGTGTTAAGGAATCAAAGGCATGAGTCTCCAATAGCATGGAAGACAGGCACTGCAAAGAAGAACAAATAACACAACTCCCATTAAAAAGAACAGTACTTTGCATACTAAATGCATTATAAAGTTTCTGATTAGAGCCATACTAAAGAACTATGGCTTTTGTTTAGCTTTTCTGTTCTGGCTATTCACTGTTTCATTAACTGCCAGACTTACACCAATTACCACTTTTAATTTTAAAAGCTTCACTTTTTTCCTATTCACTTATACAGGCTTTGCTGCAGGGAAATCTGAGTCTGTGCCTCAGTAGCGGGCTGAATGCTAAAGTTCCGTAACAGGGACAGGCTTGTGAGGTGTCATAATGTAGCCCTGGAAATTATCATGGCTACAGTGGTCGAAACCGCCTCCTCTTCCCCGTAGCCTGTGGCCCTTCAGGAGGCGGTGCACGCAGGACCCGTGGTGGCGGTACAGTATCACCACAACCACTGCCGCCACAACCACCACAATCACGAAAACCACCATGCCGATGACCAAGCCTTGGGTGGCCGCATCCATCCCACAGGCTAGATCACTCAGCTCAACACTGTGCAGGCTTTTTCCTGCCAAATGAGGGGGCGATGCACACTTCACACTCTCACTGCTGTTGGGGGCCTTGGTCAGTTGCCGGAGCCAGGCTGCCGAGCAGTTACACTTGATAGGATTCCCATCAAGGCTCCAGTGTGCGATGTCCTTCCACGAGGCAGCCTGCTCGCTGATCTGCTGTAGATTATTGCCGTGGAGGTCCAAGACGCTAAGTTCTGGCAAGAAGCGGAAGGCATCCTGTGCTATGAACGTCAGGCTTGGGTTCTGTGTGATGACCACTTCCCGGATGTTCATGTTGTGTCCTAGGACGTCCTTCTCCACGTGGACGAGGGAAACACAGCCTGACACAAAGAGGGAGTGTAGACGACGGTTCTCCTTGAAAGCATCAGGAGGCAGCGTTGTGAAGAGGTTGCGGCCAATGTGCAGTTCCTCCAGCTTGCTGAGGTGACTGAGTGCTTCTGTGGGCACATGTGTGAGTCTGCAGTCCTCCAGGTTCAGTTTACTTAAAAGGGACAAACCCTGCAAGGAGTTTCTGGTGAGCCCCTCATTTAGTTCTGTCCCTGATAGATCAAGGTCCTTCAAGGTTCTCATGGCCTCAAAATCAGTGTCTTTAATCTCTGTAAACTCATTCCCACCAAGACTCAGCTCTGCCAAGTCCGGTACAAGGGCAAGGTTCTGGGCCGGGATCTCTGTTAACCGGTTGTCACGAAGGTGTAGCACTCGTAGATTTGACAGACCAGCCAGGGCTTGATTGTCAAGTCTTTCTATCCGATTTTCTGACAGGTCCAAATCCTTCAGTTGCTTGAGCTGGGTGAAAACACCTCCATCTAGAGATTCAATCGAATTGCCCCTCAAAGACAGCACCTGTGGAAAATAATGCAGTGTTACATTTAGTCAGAAGTATTGGCGTTACTTTCTTGATCTATCTTCTAAGTTATATTTTTCTAAATTATATTTTTATTTCAGTTCTACAAACTGGCGCTCATTACAAAATAACCACCAATTTTACTTTTGTTTCTGTCTCAAATTGAACAACATATAAAAAGTCACGAGAAATGTAGAATCAATAAAAGATATATATTTTTTTTATATAATGAAGAGGTATGTTATTCTTACAACTGATCTAAAATTCTTAGCATAAAAAAGAATTGCCTGGAGTATAAATTTCTGAGTGTCATTCAGCTGCAATTATACTGCATTAGGAAAAGTAGCTGATGATATGAAATTTCTCTATGATTTACTTCAAACAGCAGGAAAAAAATATTCAAACTGTGCGATAATAGTCAGATGCATTATTAGGATCGTTAAATAGTGAGAATATTTCTGAAATATTCATATGTTCACCTGACAATTGCAGAATTCTTAACTTATTTCAGAATAAAGTGATTATCTGCTGTGTGACATTGTGTTTTATC